TAGAAATAAATAATAGAAAAATGAGGAACTGATATTCGAGTAAACAGATGTTGTGGTAATAAACAAGAAAGCTATTTCCAGCGCACAACATAAATGAATTTAGTTTTCTAGCAAAATACAGCCCCAGTTAAGCTTCTTTCCAGACCTAATTATGTTATAAGTAGACTGTGCTTCAAGCAATTAAGAGAGACAAATAGTATTGATAGTAAGCGGATGTTGGACAGGAGATTGTCCACATGGACATTTGTTTGTGCACCTATTACAAAAACAAAACTGAGTGAAATTAATATTTGGCTTAAGACTCATGTAAAAATTGAAATTCTTTTCAGAGTAATTAAGAAACTTCATATTGCATCATGCAATTTCTCTCTTACACAAAGAACAGAATGTTTCCCCCATTCAAATTCTATGTTATCAAATACGGTTTATTATAACTTTGATTCTGAAACCTTGTTACACACATTATATAATATCCTACAATTTATTAATGGTGTCTAAACACAATATAGAAAAGCAAGGACGAGTTATTGACTTCTCAATTAATTTGCCAGCAAACTCCTGCAGCAAACATCAGTGCTACACTTTTTTTTTCAATTTGTGGAAATATAGCAAAACATAATAGGTACTGTATTAGAGTTCTGAGGTTCAGCAAGCTTCATGTCATGCAACAATCTTAACAACTGTCCACTACAGTATAAAAAAGATTTTATATTGCATAAAAAGATGCAATTTCAGTAAACTACTAATGTTTGTAGCCTGCTACCAAGGATTACAATATTAAAACAGAGTTCTACGCTATCCATTACATTTACTTTCATTAATTTTCATTGAGAAAATTTGGTTTCTCAAATGTTAATTATATCAGACCATGATTCATTTTGCTAAAGAAAAATCTGTTTTTCTTATTTGTAGTTTTACATTACTGCAGATTCAGCAAGACATCTAAATAAAAATGCAGTTTTTTTTCTACTGGTGTTAGCATAAACGATTCCCTAAATTTTACACAAATTTTGCTATATCTGTTTAAATGGGAAAATAATTCCTGCTTTGCATGTGTCATCCTAGGCCCAATTTTCAATCTAGTTCCCAAAACAGGTAAGTGAACACACATCATTTTTTTTTCATTTGCACTCTTTCCATCTAACACAGGGGAAAGCATCCACTGAAAAAATAGGGATTCAAATGACTAATTTCATATTCTATATCATATTCTACGATATGAATATGATATGATCCTATCCTATTCATATGCAAGTGTATGAGGAAAACTGACTTAGAATTCCAGTTTTGAACATAAAGCTCAAGTTGTCCAGTAAGCATGCAACAAGAAGTGTTCTCACAAAAAATACTTGTTCAAGAGTGGTTGTTTAAACTTATCAAAATGTTTGCTTTCTGAAAAAGAAAACTAAGCATTAATCTATTTTCAGCTTTTTTAGGAAATATATTTAGCTCGCCAAGACTAAATTGTCAAATTTATTTTTAAGCTAGACATTCTGGGGAATTATTAATGCTTTTTCTCTGAATAGTCATTTTGAATCATAAGCGCTTTAGGAATAGAAATATACAAGTTTTAATATAAAGGTAGTCCTCAACTTACAACAGTTCATTTAATGATTGTTCAAAGTTATAACAGCACTGAAAACAGTAACTTATGACCAGTTTTCACACCATTTGCAGTATCCCTATAGTCACATGATTAAGATTCAGGCACATGTCAACAGACTCATATTTATGATGGCCACAGTGCCCCGGGATCATTTGATCACCATTTGTGATTTTTTGAGAAGCAAAGCCAATAGGGAAGCCAGATTCATTTAACAACCATGTTACTAATGTAAGAACTGCAGATTCACTTAATAACTGTGGCAAGGTCATAAAATGGGCAAAATTCACTTACTAAGTTTGCTTAGCAGCAGAAATCTTGGACTCAATTGTAGTCATAAGTTGAGGACTACCTGCACTGCCTTCCAAATATTTCCACAGTTTAACCTAATTTACACTGGAGGATGCTAGTTGTTTAGCCAATCAAAATTAATTTTATTTTTAAACTCATTGTAAATGAATCTAGTTTAAAATTACCTCATTGCTCCACTAAATTACTGTATGTTTTGTAATATTTGTTTAGTATCATATTTCAGTCTGAAGTAACCAGATTGTCTAGAGTATTTTAAGCTTATATCATAATATAAGCTAATATATATTATTTCACTAAGAAATTGTGGGGCTAGCCATTAGATCTGTGTTATATGTGAATCACATCACTATAAATGTGTAAACTATGGATTAATGCAACATATGACTCACTCTCCTGGCTACAATAAATGTTTCATCTAGGTGAGCGAGATTACTAAAAGAGGGCTGGAATGCTTTGCCCCCGACGGTTCATTCAGTTTCTATTTGAAGACAGAAATCACATTCATCATGGAAAATAGACGAGTTCAGACAATAGTATGAAGGATTTCATCCATCTTCATCTACCAATCTGCTGTTTCCATTTTGAACATAGATAATGCAAAAGTCCTTTTTATTTGTCTAATGTAAGATCCAAGGAATTGGTAGCAAAGTTTATAAAGGATTATGTCTTTCCTCTGCTACCAGCATGAGGTATCGTTATGTTAAACACACAGATAGTGAATTTTTGAACATATTATAAATATAGTAATTGCTGGTCTTGCATGAACAAACTTAACTTTCTAAATCAGTCTGTGATAAAGGGAAGATGCACCCTTCCTTCCATCTTCCTTTGTCATTTATGATGCATAAGTCAGTACTTAAAATCATAGGTTAAGGAAGAAACAAAATGGTTCACAATGGATGACAGACCAAAGGAAGAAGGCCTGGTTTCTATGCTTCATGAAGAAAAATGGCTCTTTCAGTAAATATATTGAAAATATCAAGAAATACATATCAGTCATCTTTATAAAAATGAACTGATCCAAGAGATTCAGGTGAAAAAGGAATAAAGCTTTAAACCACATGTGAATGATTTCAAGTATATGAATAAATCTCTAGAGAAGGCTTCATACCTAGCAACACACTCCAGAGTCCATTCAAATCAGTAGGGAGAAGACAAGGTGGATAGGTAATTCTGTAAAATTACCCTAGTGAAAATGTTGATAAATCCCCAATTATGACACCTGTTCTAGGATAAAAACAAATGCAAAATACAACACAATCACCAGTCAATATTTGCAAACTTTTCACACAAAACATTAATCCTCTTAAATTTTAAGTCTGTTATCAACCTGATAATTTTGAAATGCCAAAATTTATAATTGTTTAGAACAGTTCCCATCTTCTTCATTGAAATATGTTTAACATAATCACGTGAACACAAGGGTTAAGAGTATAATCATATCATTATCTAGTTTATTAAGATATTAAAAAATCCTGAAATGATCCAGATAACATTTATAATATTTTGGAAAATGTTATCAACGCTCTTGCCACATACCATGTAAGATTAATAATTACACTGTTGCAACAGACAACAGGTACTGATAAGTTAACACAAGTTTATTAGCAAACATTTACAAGTTAAACGCTTACATATTCAAAATGGCCAATATGAAAATAACACTGCATATAGAAATATCACATAAAACATGGCTTCCAAAAGTGCAATTTACCATTTTTGTTGCCCAAGTAGGCTTTCCCTTTATTCCCAACCATAAAAAAGTTCAGGTTTCTCACCAACATACTAGCCTTTACTAAATAATTCTCTCTACTCAAAGAACAGGAAACAGTCTTATTTTTATACTCTAGCCTCAAACATTTGCATTTCAATTCTCCAGCTTATACCTATATGTGGGGTTTGCTGTCTCTGTAGGCCAGCTGTCTTTCTACACATACTCAACTCCTGCCCTTGTTTTATTACACTGGCTAGCACAGCTGCCAATCATTTCAGCTAATGCTCTTTCCTTTCTATTTCAGACACAGACCTTCTATTGTCACATCCGTATTACCAACTAGGCCTTTCAGCACCACCACCGCAAAAACAAGCTTCAATATTTCACCAACTATGGATCCAGCAATCGGGCTTATTCGTCTGCAAATTTCCTTAAAGCCATAATCTATTTTTCTTTCAGATGGCAGAGAGGAAGAGACATTGTTTTAGAGGTTGGAATCCCCTCTTTTATTCCTAAATAGCCCTAAAGAGTTGCAGCAGCTTTCCATTTGTTTAAACCAGTTTCATCTCATGTCATTATTCCCTCAATTGCTTTGGGGTTGTTTTTTTTTTTTAGTATAAACTGATACTTAAAGGATATCTGTGCACTGGAGCCAAGGGTCTTTTGAGGGGGAGGGCAGACCAAGTTACTTAATGAGCTTCCAAAACGTCAAGGAAAAGCTTCTCCCCCGCCCACCCCTTCTTCCCCTCCTCGCCCCTGCCACCCCAGCTCTTGTCAACAAGGACTGAGCACACGTCACTTCCTCCAGAACCTTCCCATAGCTTCCAGGAAGGCTCACCCGCCCCTTTTAGTGCAAAACATCCATCCTCTTTCGCAGACTCAAAAAACTTTTTCTTCTTAGGGACTCGGATGGTGCTTGCCACCCCCTCAAGAAGGCTCCTCGCTTCCCCTTTAAAAAAAGCCCCGCTTTCTGGATCCAATTCCGTCAGCTTTAAAGCTCCCCGGATCGTCATACACACCACCATATTTCTCCCTCTCTCACACACACAAACACACACACACATACTACACACACACACCCCTTCGTAAAGATCTAAGAGACCTTGTACACAACCCTCCCCCGACGGCAATAGATCCCTTTCGAACGAATGGTCGCCAACCCCCGTTTCCTTCCGGTAGTGCTGGCAGCAGCCCCCACCTCGGAGTTTTCCCTTCCCCCCCCCACCCCGCATCCCCTTCAGAATTCCTCACCAACCGCTCCACCCAATTCAAGTCTCCCCCCCACCCCACCTCTCCCGGCTGGCTGGGTCTGGCGTTCGTCCTCATTCCCCTCCCCTCCCACTCTTCCCCTGAGAACAACACCTCTCTTACTCTTCAGAGTAGTAATTCTCGCTTCCTCTTCTTCTTCCACAAACCCGCACTGACTACTACGCCCGGCCCTCGAATACAGCCCCCAACCTCCGCTCACCATCTGCTCCCCTGACCTCCACAACACCTATCATTTCTCCGCCTCCCCCCCCCCCGGACAACCCGACCCAACGGTCGGGTTTCCTCGCTTCCTCCCCAGCTCCGGGATATCAGCGCCCGCTTCCTCCGCCTCTTATCCCCCCCCCCGCCGCCGCCGCCGCCTGCTCCCAGCAGACTCACTTCATTAACCCCGAGGAGCCCCGACCGTTTCCCTCCTTTCCTCGGTTGCCCTCCCGTCTGCCCCCAGGCCGGCCTCCGTCGTTCCCCCCCCGCCGCCCGATCGATCCTCCAGAGAGGGGGGGGGACGGAGGAAGGGAGCGGAACAGCCCCGCCCGCGCCTCCCCCTCCCTTGCCCCCCCTTCCCCCGTACCTGTAACTGCAGCATCCCCGTCTCTGAGCTGCCGGCCTGGCTCTTTGTTTCCTGCCGCGGGCCGGACAGGAGAACTGGCTCCCCCCGCCTCCTTCTTCGCCTCCTCCTCCTTTTCCTCCTCCGCCTCCTTCTCACACTCATTGAAAGCAAACAAGCATCATGGCGGCGGCGGCAGCGGCGACGACGGCACGGGGAGCGCCTAGGCCCGGCCCACATCGCTCGGCTCGGCCGCCCACTCCTCGCCGCGATTGGACGGCTGGCACAGGGCAGGCTCGGCGGCCGGCTATGGCTACGCGGAGCCAGAGGGAAGCGGCCGGAGGACGGGCCTTTAGAGGGACGAAGCGGCGGCGGAGGAGAAGAAGAAGCCGCGTCGAAGAGGAGCGCTTGCAAGTCGAGGCATTGCCCGTCTCGGGAGAGAATTCCCCGGGTTGGGGGTGGGTGGGTGTCAGTGGGACCCGAATGGTTGGAGAGACTTCCTATCAAGAAATCTCAGGGCTGTGTTGAGTAGACTTGAAGCTATGGGCCTAAAGATGCATGGGCACTAATATTGGCATACTCTAGCAAGCAAGAATCGTGTACGCGTAGTCCTCGACTTACAACAGTTCATTCAAAGTTACAACTGCACTGAAAAAAGTGACTCGTGACCTTTTTTACAGTTACACCCTTTGCAGCATTCCCATGATCACACGATCAAAATTCAGATGCTTGGCAACTGGTTCATACTTATGGCGGTTGCAGTGTCCCGAGGTCATGGGATCCTCTTTTACGATCTTCTGACAAGCAAAGTTAATGGGGAAACCAGATTGACTTAATAACTAGTTATTGACTTATCAATTGCAGGGATTCACTTAACAACTGTGGCAAGAATAGTCGTAAAATGGGGCAAAACTTACTTAACAAATGTCTCGCTTAACAACAGAAAATGTGGGGCTCAATTGTGGTTGTAAGCCGAGGGCTGCCTGTACTATGGTTGTCGTAATAGATGGTTTTAAGAAGACTGGCTAGGAAGATCAGTGACCATAGTTCGTGGATTTACTTATTGGCAGCGTGCCTTAAACAGCGGGAAGTGAAGTGCCTGGGGTCTGTCACTCCTGCACCAAATCAGCATAGAACCTAATTATTTAAAGGTCTCTCTAGATATTAATTTTTATAAAAATCAATGAAGAAAGCCATGACAAACTCTAATTACTGTACATAAATCAAAAAAATTAAAACCAACAAAAGTACAGGTAATCCTCGACTTACAAGAGTTCATTTACTGACCATTCAAAGTTATGGCACTGAAAAAAGTGGCATGTTTTTTTTCATACTTATGACCATTGCAGTATCCCCATGGTCACATATTCAAAAGTCAGACACTTGGCAACTGACTCATATTTAGGATGGTTGCAAAGTCCTGAATCGTCCCCTTTTGTGATCTTCTGGCAAAAGAAGTCAATGCGGAAGCCACATTCACTTAACACCTGTTATTAACATCTGCAGTGATTCACTTAACTGTTTCAAGGAAGGTTGTTATGGGGCAAAATCATTTACATGTCTGCAACAGAAATTTTGGGCTCAATTGTGGTCGTAAATTAGGGACTACCTGCATTTACTTACTTAAGTTGGAAAAATATTAAACCATTAATTTGTTTTAATGTAACAGATGACTTTGTCTCAATGTTTATATCTTTCGTTTTAATATTTGGCTAAGCTATTTTTCAAAGAGAAAATGAATTTAAGAAGACTATAAAAATCAAATGTTGTAAATGCTTGGGGAATTGTTTTAAAAACCATGATTGCTGCAACTTTTCATAAATAAAAAAATGAAACTAATTTTTATTGTATTTAAAAAACATTACAGAAATATCGGGATTTCGTAATTTACTTAATTATCACATGAAAATTATCAGGTCATTTGAATATTGCAAAGAAATTACATGCTATTTATTTAAGCCAGTAACTGAAAAAAATCAGATCTTTTTTTTTAAAAAAATAGGTCTGTTTAATTGTTTACATTATGCTACAACTAAATTCAATGGTAAGATCATTGGTTGTTGTTAGTCATGAAGTCGTGTCCATCATGACCCCTTGGACAACGTTCCTCCAGGCCTTCCTGTCCTCTACCATCCCTTGGAGTCTATTTAAGCTCAAGGCTCACCTCACTCACAGATCAATGGTATGCAACATAATTTCTAGTTTTCTGAAGTTACAGGTTATAATATTCAGAATTTTGAAAATATTGAATTCATTTCATTAAAGCATTTTAGCTGGACCTTGCCATTAGAAAATGTAAAATATGGGATAGAATATGGTACTGCAATACGGTACCAGAAGGTTTTTTAAATGAAAAGTACATGGTGTTTGTGAATCTGTTTTGTTGCATATATGTATATGATATAATGCCAAATGAGAATGTAATTAGTGGAAAGAATAGGTCTCAGGTTCGTACATTGAATGGAATCTGACTAATTGCCCTAAATATATTATGTAAAATTAATATTGTCAAAGCTTACCAGTTTTTATTCAAAAGAATAATCTTTACTGATCACGTGACCTTGCTTGATAATGTATTCATACACTAACTAATTATTTATTAGTAGTCTGGATGGCCATTAGCGGTGATAAAAAGATACAGAAAGCCTAACCTTTTCCTATCATCTAGCAGTTGTCTAGGCTGTTGCCACCAACTTATTGAAGAAACTATCCTCATCAGGAGACTAATTTTTAAAAGAAAAGTATGCATACAGTATTAGAAATAAAATGTAACCTCAAATTTAGTTATCAGCAAAATAAAATAATAAAAGACAAGGTATGAAAAATTATGCTGATTATGTTATAAATAGAAAACCTCAAAAGAATTGACTATATTTAAACATGATCCTTTCTTGAAAACCCTTGGTTCAACTATTGACAATTACATCTATCAATAATTTTTACTGCAAATCTATCTTTATAATATTGCATAATCAGTCTTTTGGCCAGTCCTCATTCTTAAAAATCTATAATTTTTTATTCCAAATCAAGTGTAAATTCTTCCCAAGATGATCATAACATATTTAATACACAATGTTTTCCTTGAGTCTTGTTTTGTTTATTTCACTAAGTATATGGCAAAATGATAATTTTTCTCTACCAATTCCCTAGTTTCACTTCCAATAGTAAGAAAATTGCAAATAATCCTTCCAGTATTATATATGTTTTTAGATAACAATTAAACAGAAATCATTCTTTTCTGTATTAGCTTCATATTAAAATCAGAAGCAGCTAATTTCAATTGCTTAAAGCAACCTCCACTGACATATAACCTCATTTGTCCAGAGAACATGTAAATAATATATTAGAACTATTTCTTGTAAAAAGGTTACTGATTTATTTACTTCCTTGATTTAAAAATGTTTTATCTGTTGGAATTTTTCTTTCTGTTGTTTTTGAACTTCTGTGATTTTCCCTTTTTCAGTCAAATGATTATTATTACTAGTACTACTATTATTCTTATGTATTATAATTATTTAATTTGCTGTAGTGTTATTTAAAAGCAAACTCAAAAAAGTAAAGAAAAGTAAGAAATAAGATGGACATCTCTATATAATAATCAATTATCAAACTACACTTAAGGAAAACCAACCGTTTTTCTTAAGTAACTGATAGAAAATTAGATCAAAGTTGAGAGTCTCAAGCTATTTCTTTCCAGATCCTCTTACATGAAACCTCTTTCCCCCTGCAACAGAAAGAGGAGTCTGGATTTGTGAAGCGGCTAAGATCATAAACGCACCAGAGAGATTTAACAGTAACAGAGTTGGAAGGGACCTTGGAGGTCATCTAGTCCAACCCCCTGCACTCGCAGGAGACCTGTACTAGGGATTCAAACCGCTAAACTGCCAACATTTCTGATCGACAAACTCAGTGTTTTAGCCACTGTCCAATCTATGGCCCATGGGACTTCATGCAGCCCGACAGCTAGTAATGCAGCCCCACAAGATAATTAAAAATGTTGAAAAATAGAGGAAGTTTGTTATTTATATATATTAACTATGTTATATATTGTATATGTACCCCAAGACAATTCCTCTTCAAGCAAAGTGGTCCAGGCAAGCCAAAACATTGGACAACCATGATTTAACCTTTGATCTGGGTTTTATTCTTCACCTTGGCATAAATCTAAAATATTTTGGGTCTTGGTGTATTGCTTTCACATATTCTCCACCACGAAACAATTATTACATAATAGAATCTTATAGTTCAATATAAGTTTAATTCTATGCTTCATTTATAGATGTATGTTTGTTTTATCAGTATGTTTTAATTATGTCTTAAACTTTATTTTGTTTATAATTTATTAAGATAGAACGTATATATTCACTCATAGAATAGTCATCTTACACTGGTCTGTCACCACAATCAATTTAATTGATTGACCAACGTGAGAAAAATCAGTATTTAAATGTTACTGTTTTCATCTTAGGAATGAAAGAATGTATGTATATACTTATTTATAAAAATTATCTGGTTGCCCATCTTATACCTATCTTACATGATAACATAAGACATGAAATTCTAGGCCAAGGTGGTGCAGTGGTTAAATGCAGCACTGCAGGCTACTGCTAGATCAGCAGGTCAGCGGT